AAAGTTCATCTGGAATACAAAAACAGTGTAAAAAAAAAAAAAAAATAAAAATTAATAAAAAAAATTAAAAAAAAAAAAAAAAAAGAAAAGGAGCATGAAAATTCTGAATTACCCCAAAAATGTGGAGAGTTTTTTTTAACAGAAATTTAGGACAAATTGTTGAAAAAGGTAGGTGTTTATTTTCCCTCCGAATCTTGCTTTAAATATTTTGCTGCAAATTTTAGCTCCTGAGAACTTCCACTAAAATGGAAGGGGTTCAGCTTTAAGATAAAATACCATCACCACTTTGAAGATTTATCCTTTTGCTAAAGCATTATACACAGTGCCAGATACTGTGGTTTCTCATCTGTGTGTAACAGGCAATGTAAGAAGTATGAAATTATGGAAAACATGCTCTTTTGCCTGCTTTTCATTTCTTTCAACTGCTTCATCAAGCTACATCAGTTCTACCACACTTTGGACCTAGGCAATAAAACCCAGGCTTCTCCACAGAATCAGGATTCATGGAGGCACCACACTTACTCAGCAGACACAAAGAGTCTGGCAATACAATTCTGCGAAAGTTTGACTCTAAAATAAGTGTCTCTTTTTTCAGGGTGATGGAATAAAATGTGATTGTGCAATTAAAGGCTGTAGCATAGCTCTGATAGCCCAAGGAACTCCGTGAAGATTACACAGACAGCCTCAATCTGATAGCCTAACTCAGGTATCTCCTGACTCCTCCATCTTGAAGCTACTTTAAAGCATCAATTTAGAGGCTGTATTATCTGTCATCTTTAATTTCATTACTACTTATTAAAAGGGAAACACCACATGGTGTTTTGGTTTCAGAGGAATTGTGGCAATTATTTATTTCATTGCTATAGGTTTGCCAGCCTGTAATTCCAATCTCTGTTTTTACAGCAAGTAACTTAAAAGTTGTTCTGATATGAAAACACATATTATCTTCATATAACATTTTTGCTTGGCATTAGCAATTAACCAGACACTCAAAACCAGTTTTTTCAGAAGTTGAATTACCTTCACCGAGTTGCTGGGGAAAAAATTGTGCTGAGTTTCAAGCCCTACCCTGATACATGACGACAGTTTCCTACCAACTTCATAACATCAGAAGCTGTGCTATTCCCACTTTCTCTAATATCTGAGTACAGAGTTTTCTTTCAAACAGACTGTGCTTCTCAGTATGGGGAAGCATTTACACACAAGGAATGACTTTGTATTCCTCCTTGTTTTTACCTGCTAATGCAATATTCTTTGTCTCCAGGTATACCCAGGTAGCGTGGTCGTTCACCAGTGGCAATGATAAATCTCTCAGCTGTGTACAGCTTCTCAACTCCCTTTTTGTTCGTTGCCTGCATACAAAGTATTAGTGCAAAGTGAGTGTTTTGCAGTCCCACCACAGGAAAAATGATTCTATTTGAAAAGGATCTCTATTCATACAGCACTACAGAAAGACACAACAAACAATGGCTATGGAGTACCTTAACTGTGTGTGGCCCAACAAATTCTCCATATGCATTCTCATACGTGACCTTCTTGTCTCTCAGTGCAACCCGATAGCCCCAGTTCAGTGAGCCAATGTAATTCTGAACAGATTCGGCCATGGTCATCCAGTTGTGTTTGACTGTCAGAAACAGAAGAGGAAGGTTCATCTTTTAATCTGAGTTTTTCTTTTTCCACAGCAAAATTGCTATTCTCAAAGTGATTATTTTCATGATCCAGTCTTACTGGGTTTGTCTTACTCCTGTTTTATTTCAGGGTAAATTGACTGAAATTCAAATAATTACATCAGCACAGATAACACGAGAGGTCACAGTGCAAATAGATATGACTAAAACATTGAAAATTAAGACTTAATTATTGACAGTTTTTATATTTTATATAAAATTATATATTTTATATATAAAATATTGTATATTTTTATATAAAAACTCCTGGTTTATATTTTATACTGATAGATATTAACAGCCGCGAGCAGGTGACATTGCTCAACAAATGAAGACAATGCATGTCTGAGAGGTGCCTCTACATTCTTCCAAATACAGGATTGCAGTCTAAAAAAATTATAATCCTATAACCACGCACATCAGAGATAATAAAAAAAAAAATCCATCTTCTTACATAGTATTGACAGACACTTAGGGAAAGGAAATACTTGCTTGTAACTGCAAGAAGTTTCTGTCAGGCAACATCCTGGTGTATTTCCTTAGATGTTGTGGTAGATTCAGAAAAGGAGCAGTACCTTATTGCTTTTGTTCACACAACAGTCTCATCCATATATAATCACCTCCATATATAATAGATCCATATATATTATCACCTCCAGATAAAACATGGAGGTGATAAGCCCCACAGCTTTAGACTTGCAAAACGTTTCAATTTATGTGTAATGTGTCAGAAGTTGCCTCACATTGTCAAAGCCAGCACATGCTGCAGTACAACAAGCACCTGATTATGAGCACCACCTCAGGATTTTCAGTGCAAATGACAAAAGTGGAAAAAGTGTGCTTCTTTACCTTCTTCTGTAAACTGCCACCCAAATTTGCGTGAATCTTGCAAGGCTTGTCCCAGTAAAGCTGCCTGGTGCATCAATTTTTTAGGTATACAGCCCACATTTACACATGTTCCTCCAAGACCTGAGAAAAAGGAACAGAATGTGGTTTTCAATCAGTGTAGCAGATTCCAAAAATGAGAATTAGAGTCTCTGAGCAAAGCTCCTTTAAAACAGGATTGCAATGAAGAGAAATTTACCCCATGAGCTTCCCTGAGGTGTAGGCGTGACAAAGTCCAGCACCATCACTTTCTTTTCATATTTGGCAGCCTCCTGCAAAACGAATTAAATAAGACACATATCTAAATATTTGAGGTTAAATTTGGAGTAGACTATAACATCATGCATTGCTGAAAAGCTTTGTGACTTTTAATTAAGTTACAATAAATGATTTGCAAGGGAACAGACAGTCATTAATCTTCTGAATTTATCTGTGCATTCAGTAGGAAAAAGAAGATGAAAGGCAAAAAAAGGTATTCATCCTACTACAAAACAGCATGGCACCAGCTGATACAGAGGAGACTCTGTGAGTCCAACCTCCTCTTCACTCCTCCATCCTGTCACTTTGTTCAGACTAATTCCCAACATACCCATTTACATTTAACCTACTTAACAAATTCCTAATTTATCTAGTTTTCCCTTCAAAGATGGTTTCTCCAGCATTTGTTCGAAAACACATCAGAAAATGACACAAGCAGTCACATGGCCAAGCATGACAACCTTAACAACTCTGTGATTCTATATTTCCTCTAAGAAGTTTCATTAGCAAATCTACAATTAATGCCTGTAAATGATACTGAGAACTATATACTAATTTCATTGCTCCCTTTGTGTTTTCTTAAGAAAAAGGCAAAACTGACATCAGTAACTGCTGTCATGGAAAAGTACTTAGGCAAGCACTAGGTAGCTGTGAAATGACAGATTCCTCCCATTAGATGAAGCAAAATAATTTTGCTACTTGGAGTAGCCACAACTATGCTGGCATCATATGATGAATTCTTAGACATAGGAGCAGTAACAACTATATGAACAGGATATTACTCTAAGGCCTTGGGTTTGGTTTGGGAGGAGCTGGACAGCCTTCAGCGTTCTGTTACCAGTAATACTTGTTAATCAAAATACTTGACAATCAGAATTTCAATTTCAAATGTACCTTACTTCATGCAAAATGCAAATCACACTTCAAATAACACAGGCTACAGACACCTTCAGAAAATATTGCTGTACTGGATTCCAATAAAGATCTAATCTGGCCAAGAAGCTAATTCCTATCCATTAGCAGCACTTCTGAGAAAGTTCCTCAGAAAGGCACTTAGGGACTGAGACATGTCATTAAAGCTGCTTTATGATGACAACTCTTCTGCACTGCTCCAAAGAGCCTTACCAGGGTTAGCTAAGCAGAATGCATGGATTCCCAAGCTTCTGTCAGCTACATGCTCACATAACCCAGCACAGATCTTTGCAGAGATCACACACAGATACAACCACTTCTGAGTGGGCTGAGTGATCTGCTCACAGCCACAAACATGCCCTGCAGGCTCCCAAACCTTTTGGGGCTCAGGGCAATGCTGCAGGAACACAGGAAGGCTGCTCAGGGAGCTGTTCTGTGTGAGATGAGAACAGGGGCCTGGCACCATTCTGAGCCTGCAGCTGGGGTGTACCAAGTCAGCCTGGCAGTGTTCACACTCCCTGTGGAGAATTGCCTCCAAAGGAACAAGCTCTGGGCACAAGGTAGAGAAGAAGATGTGCACACAAGTGCGCGTGTCAGAGTGAAAAGCACACATTTAACCAATCTAGGTAAACTGCTGCAAACCTGAGTGTAGATATCTGGAACTTTGTATGAGATCTGTGCAGCTGGGGTTTTTTTTCTGTTGTTGTTGTTGTTTGTTTGTTTGTGTTTGGTTTTTTGTTTTTTGCTTTTTGTTTTTTCAAAGCACTGTCAACTGACATTCATTTTTAAAACATTGAACAATCCAAGTAAAAGTCAAAAGTTTATGTGTGTAAAACTGTTCCGCTTCAACTACATGAAACTGATTTGAAATACACACATTACTACTGATAGGGATGTTGAATTTATTGATCTACCACCTTCTGTTCTACTTAACAATCAGTTGAGGACACTGAGAATCAATATACTTCACACACTGAGTTGAAGGAATTAGTTTATCTTCCTACTGCACACCTTTTCAGTTATACATCTGAAAAATGATGCAATAAACATCACTGTGTCATTTGGTCTCCTTATGGAAATTTCAACAGCTGGCTTCTTATTACTGCAAACTCTTTTTGCATTACTGCAAACTCTAATTTACTCTTGTTACTCTCTCCTGTCCCTTAGCAAACAAGGATTTGCTTCTCTTTGTGGTTGTCAGAATTTTCATAGATCTTTCTTTCAATCCTCAATGGCAACAGTGCCTCTGTTGGTAGGAAAGCAGTAAACTACCAAAATAGACTATGGATCTACATCTGTGTATCTACAATCCACCACCCAGCCTGCACATTTCTGTTATAACAGAAATACTTCTAAGGGACCAGGGCTCACTGTGAATCCAATACTATTCTAAAATATTTTCTCCTTATTTTCTTTCACTCTGCAATGACCTCTTCCACTTCTTGAGAACAAAAGAAATGCTCCCAACTGAGCATTAATTACTAGGATTAATCCAGCTCCAGGTCTTGAACAGCAAAGTAGTTTTATTTACAGGAATGCTCAATTCACTTCTAAATATCTAATCCTACCACAGACAGAAGAGACACAATGTGCCTAACTACTGATGTAAAGGAGAGCTACTAACTTATATTAAATTTCTTCAAGTTTAAAATATTTGGGGTTATGATGGCTCTAAGAGCTGGTATATATTGTACCACTGTGAATTCTTTTCTTTAATTCTAGATATACTTCTAATAGCAATATCCTAACAAAATCCCATCATTCATCTGGCTGCAGGCAGGAAAAACGAGACCCTAGAAAGGAAGGGTGAGACCATAGCTTAAGTATAGCAAAAATCTCCATTTATCTAACTATGTAAGCTCAAAAATCACAGACTCTCCCCCATTGCCAAAAATTAAAACAAAATACACAAGTATATCTGAAAAGATAGTACTTCTATACAAAAGTAGATACCTCCTAGTGTTTATTTTGAATAGAACCTTTTCACTGTTTAGTTGAGTTTAAATACAACTACTAATAAACACTAGTAGTAGTTTTGCTGGAAACCTGCTCTTTTCCAGCAGCATCATCTCCCATAAATGTTTCATTCTAGCAAGGGGTATTAGGGAATATTAAGGAGTATACCATGTTTTCCTTCTTCAGAACATAAAGAAAATAATATTGTATAATTGACACTAACCAAAATGGTGAAAAAGTGAAACAGTGAAAGAAATTTCAGAGATCAGACAAAAGTGTTATACCCCTACAGTGTTAAAGATACCAAATCCAAGACACTGGGGATGTCACCCACCTACTTACAAGGAAAGTATAAGCGTGTATTTTCCCCCTCATACCTTGGCAGCTGCCAGACCTCCTGAGCCTCCACCAATGACAATGAGATCATAGTCATAGGAATCCGGTACCGGCGTAAGCCCGTTCACTTCCATTGTTTTCTGAGGATTGTCTGCTTCCTTATGTGCCTGAACAGAGAAAACAAAAAGTATTAGGGAATATTGAAACATTACCCATAGTGTTCATAAATTAGTATTTTCAGTAGCAAAAATTGTGATAAGGGAACATAATTGCATCTGAATTTTCTGAGCTCTGTTTTTAATTAGCTTTTAATTTCATCTTCCTAATCCATCTGTGAATAGCTCCATACCTGTCAGATACTGAACTATAAATTTTCTTGTTCGTTGGAGCACTGGGCTTCCTTGCAGAGTGTAGTTTCACACAACAATGCAACCCTAGAGCCTCCTCATACTGTATTCCAGGAGGAGATACGTAACTGCTGACACAAGCATTCCATTAATTTATTTTATTCTTTTCATCTGCCCTGGACTTTTCTAATTAGTGTTTTCCCTCTCCTCCTGCATATGCGTGTAGGAAAATACAACAACCCCATGCGACGCTGTACTAATCCCCAATAATTACCAGCCTTACTAACAGAATGTACAGAACTGAATGAAGAAAACCATGTCTGAAAGCTGTGTTTTTGTAATATGCCAGTGTTTATCATTGCTTTGGTTTAGCATAATTTTGGCATTAAATGGATCAAGTATGACCACTATGGTTTCACAAAGGATTTAATTTTTTTAATCACAGCTACTACTACTACAGAAAAACTACCCATTAGTACTAAAAATGCATTTTGGCAGCTTATGCCACAAAGAACATGGCACTGTCTTCATATACACTTTCTAAAATGAGCCTTTATACTTCATTTCTGAAACTCCAATTTATGATGGCTTCAGACCTTCAAGCCTTTGGAATTGTGGTAAAATTCTCAATGCCTCTCAAATTGCAGGACAAGATCTGGGGTGAGTAAAAGTCAGATTCTTTAGCTGATGTAAATCAGTGAGCATCAACTAAAGTAATGAAAACTTTTAAGAACAAACCCAAAAATTAAGAAACACATACTTTGCCACTTTACAAATAGGTGTTTCTGTCTGCCTAACGTGGTAGGACTTGATTCAGTACTACTGGAATAGTTATGGCAAATCAAAGCAAAGAGAAAAGACCAAAGAAGTTTCCCTTGTCTTTTCATCTTAATTTTGTTTTGCATTAAACAGCCCTTTGTACTCAACCCATTCTACTGTTCCCTTCCTCTGAGGTTATTCCCTCCCCGTCACCTTCCTCTGAGGTTTGATTAGTCCCTCTCTAGAACTATGTCTACCCTACTGACTGCTGTCAGTGCAGCCATCCCACTGACAAAAATCCCCTATTGCTCAGACAAATTACACAGCAATGTCATCAGAAATTCAGGCTGTGCATCTGCCTGGACAAAATTAGATTGTAGTAGTATTTCATTACCCCAGGCAGCATGTTAACAGTAGAAACGAAACCTAGAAAACACCTGAGGCCACTGTGAAGACATCCAAAAATACCTCATTCTCTTTTGTCCTCTCCTCCTGTTCCACCACCCCAGCACACACCCCTACCACTGAACCTACTTTGCAATTGGTTCCCTTTCTTCTATTTTTCTAACACAGCCATCAGCCAGGATCAAACTTCCTACCACAATAAGAGCAGAGAGGCATGTATTGATATACAGCTTCACTTCATTTGTACTTAGAGATGTAAAATGAGAAAAACAGTGCCATTCTTTTCCAAAGCACACCTTCTTGCTAGCTTAGTGGAAACAGGATGGTGTGAAACATAAAGGGAGACCAACTCCCCCACAGTCATCAGACCCAGCTACTGAGAATGGTATCTTTATGAGGCACAGAAGGAAACCACACCAACTACTCATTTGCTTAGATCACTCCTTATATCATACTACCTCTTTTTTTTCTCCTTTTAAGAAAAATGCTCTATGTTTTCACATGGATTTAAAAACTTCATTTTTTATTTCCTAATGTTTGGTTAATTTCTCATTAATTCTTCATAATAACTCTTTATGAAAACATATTAAAAGTTTAGATTAGACAAAGTAGATTATAAGCTCCCTCTCTTCCTCCTAAACCCTGCTCCAAAGCAGCCAGGCTCTTGACAAACTCCACATCCCATTTACTGGGGAAACTTCTTCATGACCATGATCCCATCCTGAGAACAGATCTCCTCTTCACCCATGAACTACACATTTTACAATAAAGTCTACATCCTGGTTAGTTTTCAATATCAAAACTAAATTACAGACTTTGAAATGTATCTCCCCATACCTTTAAAGCTCTCTCATGACCTCCTATTTGCTTCTCCCGTACAGAAGCAATGGGCTGGGAAGTTTCTGCTGCTGCTTCGCGCTGTCCTTCTCGCAGCTTCGGGGCTCCCCCTGTGAAATCAAGGGTAAAATAACGTAGTGTCTGCAGAGACGTCCTTTATGAGGGCTGTGCTCCTTGAGAGAAATCATCTGGGGGAGTGGCCTGGCAGCTTCATCGCTTCCTCATCTGTGGCATGTCTGTCCCAGGGGAGAGTTTCCTAAGGCCACTCATGACTCATTTGCAATGTTAGGATGACTTGCGATATTTTCCTGCTGAATAAAATCTCATACGAGAGTTGGCTGAGATTTCAATGCCTTTGGCCAATCTAACAATATGCTTGGATCAAAGAAAGGAAATCATATTTCCTGTGGCTAAGCCTGAAACTTCAGTCTTAAAAGAGCATGATGATTTTTATCTTTCTTGCCCAGAAAGTGACACATAAAGTTCGTACTTTTTAAACTTAATTAAAAGTTTTTCGTTTTCTCCTGCAATTAGTTGCCTGGAAACTCAGTTCAATGTATTGATAAATGTATTCAAAAGGCTGGAAAATATCAGTTTTCCCACTCATAACTGTTCTTTCATATATATATTATATATATACATATATATATATGTATATGTATAAATGAAAGAACATTTTCTTTTCACTAAAATGCTTAAACTTTTATATTGGTTATATATTACCATTATAAAAGTTTAGCAGATTAGTGAAAAGAAAAAAAAAAAACATTTGCACACAGTGAAACTTTATTTGATGTGGCATTGAAAAAGACAAACGTGGAAACTCTAATAGTTGATTGGAATGCATTATTAGCTCTGCCTTCCTCCACATAACTCTGAATTATATTTTTTTCCAATAAATGGGTCAGTACACAGTTGTTTGTACTTAATCACACACCTGCTTTGCACTGTACAACCAGCATTAATTAGCAGACACTGACATGTGTCCATACTTAGAGAAATAGCCATACTGAATGCTATGTAGACATTCCTTGGGCACTGAGCCCACAGACCCGAAAAACATTCACATACACACAAATGAAAAAAGGCAGTCATTGAAAACTGGTCTGTAATCTTGTCATTTCTGACTTGTTCCCTGATACTTGTTGCTAAAATTCCTTTATCTCACAAAGATACTGGAAGAGTACTTTGGTGATGTTGGTAAAGAGGTTTAAAAATCAGAACTCTTAACTCACTATTAGCGATGGAGACTATTTTCCTGTTCTAGATGGGGAACACACACATGTGAAAAAAGAAAAGAAGACAGGTTTTGAACAGCCTTCACAAGGGATATTTTTTTGCTTCACTATATTATAAGTACAGTCCTGTGTGTACCTGAAGCAACTGCAGGAGTATTTTATTTCTGCAAGTTTGAACAATCTCAGGAATGTTCACCTAAAACTGTAGCTTCAATGAAATAAAATCTAGTCATTAGCCAACACAGGCACTTGTATAAATATCTCTAATTATTTTCAGGTAGATCTGTGCCAGAGGTACCAAGTTTTAACAATAGCCCCAAAACCCAAAGGCAACCATAGCCCCTGGCAAAGACTTGAATGAGTTTGTATGTTGGCTGGCTCTGCTTCTGGGGCCCTCTCCCTTGTTGGTTTGGGCAACCTGCCACAGGCAGCATGACAAAGCAGAAAGTACTCTGTGTGTCACCAGCTTGCTCTCCATAAAATTCCATCCGTTAACAGCAATTGTGATAACCCACAGCCCTGGTGAATAATTGATACTTTCCAAAAACAAGTCAGCAGACACCTTTTTTCAGAGTGAGACTGCTAAAGAGAACCTGAACCAAAGATCTGCTCTGGATAACCCCCCCGAGATGTGGTGCTGAGGATGATTCTCTGCCTGGTACATATGAGAGTTGTTCAGCAAGTCTGTAGCAGGGAAGCCTAGTAAGGCTCTTGCCCTGCACTACCACCAACTTTTGGTTTTGCTAGTCCCAGCCTAGGAGGTGGTGGCTGGTTAGGTGGCCTTCCTTATGTCCTGCCAAGTGCTCCTTGATATGGGGCGAGTCAGTCTAACCAACCAATACTAAAAAAAGGGGGACAAGTTTATTTGCTTCCCCCACACTGGCTTTTCCCTTTTTGGTGTCTGCATACTTGGCACCAGTTTTGGCAGTCTTCAGACTCATGCATGAGCTAAATCAACTCATTAACCTAGGAGAAAACTAACCCAGGAAAAGAAAAGTTGTGGATGGTTTCTCACCAGTCTAACAAGCTCAGCCAGCTCAGGGAACAATCCTGTGATCACCACAGCTGGTGCCAGGACAAAGGCATTACCAGACCAGTAGAGAGTAAGAAGAGGCAGCAACACCTCTCACTGGTAGTGGCAAAACTGCCAGTTTTGCTAAGAACTTGTTAAACCAGAAAAAAACCCACCTGGGGAGATAAAAAAATTACAGTGAAACAACTATGGCCTTTTCAGCCTATATCCTTCCTTACTGGGAGGCAGCTTCCCCACAAACCAAAGTCCTCCCTATCACTGAGGCCTCTGAACTTTTGACTGTTGTGTAACTTCTGGCTAGAATGAAAAAAAGGCATGATTGGTTTCAGAAGGCTTTGATCAGGTGGGAACAAGACCAGCCCAACCTAACAGCCTGGACAAGCTTTGTAAGCAGAACTGCTCCAGGATAAGAATTGCCTTACCCTGCAAAAGTGATCCAGGGATCCCACCAGCTGCAGAGACAGGACATGGGCACCCATAGAATGCACTTGCCTTTCAACTACTCACTCTGAAGGTCTAGAAGTGGTGGTTCAAGGCAAAAGTTTCCACTGATTTACACAGAGTTTCTGTATCATAGAAAAGAACACTACCAACAAGAACAAACTTCACATTTTCACGAACTATAATTTAAGAAAATAGTTGTGTCTACTCCAGGAGTTCAGAAGACATCTCTAAATTTGTAATGTTTCTGAACAAACACATAAATTGCTTTACAGCCCTGTCTTCAGGCATTTGGGAAGTACAGGCTATTTCATATGACAATGAATATTTACCTTATGTCAAAGTGATCTTTGTATGTTGAGAAATTTTCAGGTTTTCTTTCTTCTAGATTTGCTCATTTCTGCACTATCCTCACAGGTCACTACCTCCCCTATTGTGCAAACTCAAACATTTGGTAGTGACGACAACAGAGCCATTATATCATTCAGATTACAAGGGAAAAACCCTGAGTCCTTAAAAGATACACCTGCAGCCTGGATCATATCACAAATACACACTGAGAGGTTGCCTTGAAATCAGCTGAACTGACAAAACTGAGAGGAAATGGAACCCTGTGACCTTGTTGGCACGGTGCTGTTTGCTTTACCTACTAAATTGTCTTTGTCCCAGTTATGAATTTTCTCACCTTCACTCTTCCAATTTTCTCCCCATCCCACCAGGAAGGAGTGACTGGGGCTGAGCTGTCAGCTGGGCTCCCAAATACAGAACCCAAGTTCAAATCCAAAAACCAGTCTTTAAGACTTGACAAACAAAAGAGTCAAGTACATTTTCCGAAGAAATCAGAAATTCTCTGAACTATGTTATTGCTTATATTTATCCAGTGTGTTGCTGCAAAACCCTTAAATTTTAATTCTATTTTTGTTCATGCCCTTTTCATATCTTAGAGCTTAAAACTCCTTCCATTTAAAAAAGGGACTGCTTGAATGGGATTAACATCAAGGCATAATGTGGAATAAATGAACTTCACAACTAGTTGAAGCAAGGGCTCTACTCTGTCAGATTTCTGTTAGCAGAGTCCTGACAGTGGTACATAGTAATAATCCAAAACACCTATTTCCTTCACGAAAATATACATTTGTTGTTTTTACCACAACTGTTTGCATACAAAAAGCATTTAAAGTACATTCACAAGTAGGAAAACATTTAGATACAAACTTTCTTCTGGGAACTTTCCAATCTAAATGTTGAGTTCTCTAACCCAGAAGAGAAAAAAGCCCTCATCATTCTCAGCCAAACAAATATAGTTAATATATAAAAAAGGCAGAAAACTGCAGAAAGTCCCAGAGCACAGTATTCTCAAAGAACAGTAAAAATCTACTGACAACTGTTAATCTAACCTCTGCATAGCAGGACAGGAATTACAAAACCAGGACCAACCAAAGAAGAAACACTGACAGAGGAATGATGAACGCCAGATCAAATGAAATACAAACTTTCAAGTGACATCTGAGAGCCTGAATCAAAGCTCTCTATACCCAGCAGAAAAGTTCCCACTCAAAAATAGCATTAAGTGACAAAATTCAGCCTTTCAGGTTAATTTTCCAATGAACATTTGGGGACTGACTCAACAACATCCTCCAATCAGCTTTCCACTCAAGGTCAGGACTGTGTTTGGAGGGCTACAATCCACCACCTTTCCATCCAAGAGAAACCTAGGGCAAAACACTCAGCACTCAAACATCCCCTTCTCTAACAATCATCCACTCAAATTTATAATCTGCCTCATACAGTTAGTCTGAAAAAAGGGGTTCTGAAACAGGTCTCAGCTTCTAGTTCCTAGCAAAAGAAATAATTTCTACTTCCAGGCTTATTTTTTTTTTTTTTCCTTTTCTAAGTATTCATGCAGCTACCACAGAGTCCAACTGCTTTATGAAAAAGTATATTACTTTAGTGATTTCAACAGGGACATCATTATACTCCTTGGTTTGTTATGAAGTAATACAAGACAAGTTTCTGCCATAATAATTATGGAACTTAAAATCCCACTCCAACAAGACCTGGGCTTTCTCACAGACTTTCCTAGTAGTGCTCTCACCCACAGAAGTTTCTCAGCAGTATCAGGTAGTGGGTACTTACCCTTGAAAGTCTTCAGCCATTCCTTATTCCTTATGTAATTGTTTACAGTAAACCATACAGGAATTAGCCAGGTTGCTCTAATTAGCACTAATAGGGATGTTTTCTGCAAGCATAACATCACATGATGACTTCAAGTATTTCCAGAACATCTACAATACAAACTCTGGCTTTAACAGAATAAGCTGTACAAATTTAACTAAAGTAACTTTCAGCTTCTCTCTCCTCAGTAAAAGGCAACAAATCTAACATTAGTTATGTATCT